CCTATTGGCATTGTTATAAGTCAGCTAAGAAGATAGATGCTGTAGTCACCCTAGCTGCATGATCTTGGGTAGGTTTCTTAGCCTTTTGTTGCCTTTGTTTCCTCTTGTGAAATGGGGAGAATTCTACCTACCCAATATAGTCAAGGATTCACAGATAATTTACTATCTGTTTAGAAAGATCTCCATATATCCAGATGGAAAAAGTAAAGAATGTTCTAGATTCTAATGCAGTCCCAAATTGCCAATGGCTAGCTTAACTATACTCTCAAATAATTTTCCTCCTAAAAGATACTATTATCTTCCCAACAGTGAGGTCATCTGGCATTCAGGCTCACCCTGAAACAAAAGTGAGGTTGAAGGAGTATTTGAGACCCCACCCTCTGTTCTACCCTCCAGCAAGAAAAATTAAATTTCTCAATAGCTGGGACCTTCCATTTTTTCAGGTCTCAAATTGCTCTTCTGAAACAATGAAAATTAAAAAAAAGATTCTGCTTCTCACAAAATCTCTGTTCTGGTCGAACTGGTCCAGTGGTGTCCCTTCAGTATTTCTTCCCTATGTTACGTACAGTCAGGGCTCAACAACTGCTTTTGAGGTCCATAAGCATCATCTAAGGTGTTTTTTTTCTTCCTAAGTGTTATTCTAAAAGGCCTCCCTCCAGGCTCGAATTTTCCAGAAGGAGACCACAAGATCGAGTACACAGTCTATGACAGAGCTGAGAACAAGGGAACTTGCAAATTTCGAGTCAAAGTAAGAGGTAATGGTACTACTTCCTGGCTGTTGTCCCACCACTGGTAAAGCAAAGGGAAAGGAAACAGGCCTCCATATAAGGGCTCTTTGAGTGCCCCTGTGGTAGGATTAGTCTCTGGTGAAGCTGAGGAAAGCATTCCATCTTAATGCCTGCATTTCAGTACTGCCAGGTTATGTAGTAAGTGCCATAGGATTAGCGTCACAGGAGCCCACAGCTGATTGTCCAAGATAAATACCACTTGATAGCTTTTCAGCCTCTGAGCTTGGGTGACCTGCTAACACCTGCAAGACCTTCAGTAACCAGAACTGTTAGGAGATCCCTAGTTTAGACCACCAGTAGACTACGTTCTTTTTCTTCCAGGACTTAGGTCTACCTGAGAAAATATTTTTAAAAACTTTGTATTCCATGGTTTGGACATCTGATCATTACCCTTTATACCCTTCTAGGCTCAGCCTCTCATCTGCAACCTGAGGGGCTAAAACAGCTATCTCATGGGCTTCACTGGTATGGATGGTGACCATCCCAAGGCACAGCTGTGCAGGAAATAGTCATCCCTGCACCTCATTCGTTCATCTCACACACAGATCGATGATGTAGCTGGGGTCTCACCTTCCCTGGTTACTCTGTGAAAGAGTGCTCAGGACTGAGGCCACTCTTGGGTTTTGTGTCCCTACAGTCAGACGCTGTGGCAAACTCAGCGCACCAGAGAATGGTTACATGAAGTGTTCCAGTGATGGTGACAATTACGGAGCCACCTGTGAGTTCTCCTGCATTGGTGGCTTTGAGCTCCAGGGTAGCCCTGCTCGAGTATGTCAATCCAATCTGGCGTGGTCTGGCACGGAGCCCACCTGTGCAGGTATGTGTAGAAATCTTTCTCCAGATAACAGCAGAAACTGAAATCCGCTGGTTCTAGATTCCAGTATAGATAAAGACAGCTTTGTTTCCTGTACTTTGCAAAGTCCATTGTCATCTTTCCTCCTCTGCGTGAGTGAACAAAGCCCCTAAGTCCCTGCTGCAGCTCATCCCACCTGCCCGCATCATCTTCTTTGCTTGCTCTCCTGTTTCCCTTTCATGTCTTTTAAGGAAGAATCTGGAGGAGAGAACCTAGGGCCAACCTTTAATGACATTATGAGTCAACAAAGTCTGTTATACTTATCTTTACCCCTCTGTTTCACAGCTGTAGAATCTTGTTTACAGAGCTGGTTCACTGCTGTGTTTAGAAAATATATTCCTGCTTTGCACCACTGGTTTGAATCTCACGCAGACCTTAAACATTTGAAATCTTTCCTTTTTGTAAAATGAAGAAAATAATACCTCCCCCATCTCTTGAGTTGTAGAGACTAAATGAAGTCAACCACTGAACAGTGGGATAGAGCAGTGCGTGGCCCAGGGAAAACCCTCAACACATAACAGTTATTCTAATTCTTAATGAACCACAGAGCTAGTCGAGAGTGTGAAATCTAGGCTGCCTAGAATACTCAGGACAGATATTTTATTTATATGCTTCCCTTTTTCTCAATTCCATGTATCTTTCCCTCTTTATCCATTTCTTTTAACCTTAGACATTCATAGTACATGGGAGAGAGATGTATGTTTCATCTGCTAAATGCAGAAAGCTCTTCAGTTTCATACATTAGAGCAAGAAAGGCACGCAAGTCCCGGACTCCTCAGCTAAGGACCTCATGTCCATCCTGCTGACGCTGAGACCTGGGGAATAGTGCCAAATAAGATCAGAGCTCTGTATGTTCCAGATGTCAGCTGCTAGTCACACATGCCTATGGAATGCTTGAAATGAGGCCAGTGTAAAATAGAGAGCACATTAAAAATCTTAGCCCAGTAAAAAACTGAAGCATCCCTACTTTTCATGTTGATCACATGTTAACTTATTTGAGTATATCATGTTAGATGAAATATAAAGCTAATGCCATGTATTTGTTTGTACATTTTAAATGAAACTTAGAAAAATTTAAGTACAGTTTCAATTCTGTTACATTGGGTGGGACTGTCTTAGACTGTGAACCCGTAAATCAGAGTTAGAATAAGAGACAAGAACTCTGTCTCTCTCAGTGCAATATCCCAGAGATTGGCACATAACAGCCACTCAATGAAGCTGACTGAATGAATATGCAAATGAACAATTACTTTAGAGAAAACCTGAAGTTTGAAATGTGAGCACCAAGATCATAAGACATAGGTAGAGCGTCCTCATTTTTCTTCTACTATTTCTTCTCTTGGACCAGACCTGTTTGCTGCTCTGGGTACTGAACAACCTTCATTGACCTTTAACAACCAACAAGTTGCTATTGTTTGTCGTTTATTTGCTCATGTGGCAGACCTACAATTAAACTACTGTATCCCATGATCTCCATGGCCATGTTGAAAGAGAAAATGAATTTGTGTTGGTTAAGCCAATAAGTTTAATATTATTTGTTACAACAGCAAGAGAAATCTAAATCACTTCACCTGCCCATTCCTCTACCAGTGCTTCTTGGAATCACTTCCCAAATAAATGGCTTACATTTGAGTCTTCATCTCAGGGTCAGCCCAGGGTTTTGTATATGGTGTGGTGTGTTATCATAGGTTATGCTGTGCCAGAACACAAGGAGGGGTTCTGACCCATATGACTATTTCTAATTACAGCCATGAATGTCAATGTGGGCGTCAGAACAGCAGCCGCACTTCTGGACCAGTTTTATGAGAAAAGGAGACTCCTCATTGTGTCCACACCCACAGCTCGAAACCTCCTCTACAGATTGCAACTCGGAATGCTGCAGGTGCGGACCTGAGGCAGCGCTAAGGCGGGAGGGAGACCTCTAACAGGAAGAAGCCAGGCATTTCACTAAAACCCAAGGCTGGATTCAGTGCCTAATTCATTTAGGGTGGGTTTCAAAGACCAGCACTTTAGAGATTGCCATTCATTTCTAGTGCTGGAACATAACCTGATTAACATTGACTCCACAGACCTAACCCAATCATTTTCCAACTAATGAGGTTTGTGTCTTTGTGCATAAGCCTAATTGGCATACTGTTCAGGCCCAGACAAAGAACAACTGTCTTTGCTGATCTTGCCAGCACATTTATTGGCTGGAGGTGATCAATCAGTTATCTTCCAAAAGAGTGACCCAAGAGATGAAGGCCCAAGAGCTTCCAAGCATCACATCCTTCCCCCAGGAAATTTCATGCATTCTAAAAGAGATCCTCAGAGTGGCAAGTATCTTTCAGAACATCAGTTCTCACAATATCATCAGTGCACCAGCAATATTAGCATCAACTTGGAACTTTAAAAAAAATATAATTTCTCAGTCTCCATTCCAGACCTATTGCACTTTAATAAGATTTTTACACACTTAAGATGTGGTGGTTTCTAAGCCCTTTAAACACGGAGGAGTACTTTACTAGGAAATATACTCTTCATAGCTGTATTAATATTGTTGCTACCAAGTGAGGTGATCAGCATGTTGGGGGCAGAGGTAGAACCTTTAAGACTCAAACTAGACATTGCTTGAATTTGTTTTGAGTTTAGAAGCTGGTTAATAATGAGTGGCCAACCTCACTGAACACAAAAGGGGCAGGGTGTGCTGCTCGTATGTTTTTCTAGAAACTTTTTCATTTATTCCTATGACCATAATTAAAGTGTTAGAACAATCTAGGCTTAATCACAGGCTACAATTTACAATTTGTGCCAGCATTAATAAAATGAATAAGTTTTTCTTTCATTGTTCCTATGTCAGCTGAACAGATTGCCAATGAACTCTGAAGAGTCATATGCAATTTTTGAGCTACCTTGATGAGAACTAGAATTTCTGATCTGTATCCTAAAGCTCTGTTACCTTATCTGCCCTTGTTTCCTCCTTGTTTCATGGAAGCATATATACTTTTCTATTTTTTATTTTTAATGTATATTTAATTAAATTTTTGTGCATTTCATACAATGTCTTAATCACATTTAGACTGCATCTCCCATCTGCACCTTCCATAACGCCCCCCCACCGACTCCATGCATTCTGTCTTGTATGATAAAGCCTATCTGGACAACCTCTTGTACCCAGATGTCCCTCGGTGTAAGTTCATCCACTGCAGTCTAGTCAGCCTATTTAGAGTCTCTCCCTTAAAGAAGATCAACTGTCCTTCACCTAACAGCAATCAGTTGCCAATAGTTCCTTGGCTAAGGCTGGGGCCTGCTGCCGCTTCCCCAGTTCCATGCTGGGCTTTTGTCTGACTGAGTCGACATGGGTCTTGTGCATGCTGTCACCATCGGGGCAAGTTCACAGGAGGAAGCTCCCAGAGGCCTGAAACCCTCTGATACAGCCACACATGCACAGAACCCTTCTTATCCCTTAGAGCAAGGAATAAGCCAAGCAATTTGCTTTTCCTCTACATCAGCAAACTTTGACTCCTGGAACAAGCTTGGCCTATTGCTGGGTTTCGTTAAATTAAATTTTATTGGACACGGCCACAATTATTCATTTGGACATTGCTTATGGATCTATTATAGTGACAAAATTGAAATTTTAGGTTAAAGAGCATTCAGCCTCTGTAAACTTGAATATTTACTGTATACCTCTTTTAAAGAAATTATTTTAGCCTCTGCCATGGCCTATCCCTGTTGCCTTGGATCCTTGCTGAATAACTAATTAGCTAGTTGGGTATGGTACTTCAGATCTAGATATAATAATATTTGACCTCTTCCTCTGACATACATATGCCTTCAAGGAAAACTGAGTCATTTTCTGACATTTTTACTAATTCTGTCACACCATATAAAAATGTTTCAGTGGAGTTATGGTAAAAAGTCATTCAGCGGCTGGACGTGGTGGTGCATGCCTTTAGACCCAGCACTCTGGAGGCAGAAGCAGGTGGATCTCTGTGAGTTCAAGGCCAGCCTGTTCTACATAGGGAGTTCAGGTCAGCTGGGGCTACAGGGAGACCCTATCTCAAAAAGCCAAAAAAAAAAAAAAAAAAAGAAAGTCATTCGGTGTTCCACCAGCGTAAGGCTTTAAATTTTCTCTTTCCATTTAGCAAGTTTCATCTTATTCAACCTCTGTTAGTTTTTTTGGCTTCTATTGTCACTGGTATTCCTGGTGAAACCTCTTGGCATGTGGTTTTCTGAGCCACGTCCTGGAGTTTCTTTCCAAAGGCCAGCTCTGGAATCTTTTATCCTTGTTTTCCTGGTTTTTGGGTATGGGGGGCATTGGGCAGGAGTATATGGAGAATGGAAAATAAGTGCAAAAAAGGGAACTCTGGAAAATATTCTTCACTCTTTGCAAGAAGAAACTTAGAAGTCCCTGGGGGTGGTCTTGGATGCTTTTTAGGAAATTTGACTCATGCAAGGTTTCACCCTGGCTGGAAATACCTTAGAGTACCATTTTGCTTAGGTTTTCAAAATCCCATTGCCAAGCTATTTCTGTATGATTCCTCTAGGAAGATATTTAGGTTTTACAGCCACTAGTTTAACCCTAGCTTCTCAACCAATTTCAGGACAACTTGGAATGGCCAAAGAAATACCCAGAAGCAGACCGTTGCTGCTTCTGCCAGTCTCCAATTTGGTGTGATGGTCTCTTTCCTTAGTTCTACTCATACTTCCTCTGTTGGCTCTTCCTCCTAGCAAGCACAGTGTGGCCTGGATCTTCGACATGTCACAGTGGTGGAACTGGTGGGAGTATTCCCAACCCTCATTGGCAGGATCAGAGCAAAGATTATGCCTCCAGCCCTAGCTCTGCAGCTCAGGTAGGGGAAACTTCACTCCTTAAATTTGATTACCTATGAATGAACTTGTATATGATAATGAATTAACTTGTAACTGGTCAGGTTCCCTGATTTCTTTCTATTCAGTATTGAGTTCAGGCAATGTTCAGTGCTTAATTGCTTTTATTCTGGGGATATTATAATCATACTAATTGGCATGTTCCTGCTTGTCCAACTAAATTATTCAGTGGAAAATTTCCTGTGTTCTTTTCTTCCCACATCAATCAAGCATATTCTGTCTCTCTCTTTCTCTCTCCCTCTCTCTGTGTTTTAAGTTGGTAGGGGAGGAAGGCCTAAAAACAAAATGATACAAGCAATTCTTGATTGTATTAGGACAGATATCCAGTTAGTCTTCTCAGGCTTGGTCTCTTCCTCCTCCATGCATGCAGAGCATTTGAGTATACCCTTATTTTAATAATTGTATCTACTTTTGTCACACTAATAAAGCTAGAGCCATAGTATTAAGACCCTGCATAATGTTGTATTGAAGCAGTATTCAACAGCTATAGGCAATTTTAGAATAACCTAAAATTTTACTTGTATCTTTATTTTCCCTTTATTATTGAATTTTAGTGAATTTCAGATATTTAGATAATATTTAGATCCCTTCCCCTATCTTCACGCCCTTGATAGTCCCCATACAATTTAATGTACACACACACACACACACACACACACACACACAGGCCTATAGAGTCAAATTAGTGTCTCCCAACGACCTTCAGTGTGACTCCGTCCACTTGAGCCAGGTTAACCTACCAAGAGTCCCATCCTTTGAAGAGACAGTCTCTCCCCCTCTGAGAAGCCACTGTTTCCCAATAGTTCTTAAGCTAGGGGTGGGATTTCTTACCCAGTTCCCCATGTCTATGGCTGGGAATTTGTCTGGTATGAGCTTACTGGTACTTGTGCATGATGTCACCATTGCTGTGAGTTCATATGAGTAACTTCCCAACTGTCTAGAAAACTGTGTTTCCTTGTGGTCATTCACCACTTCTGGCTCTTACAGTTTTTCTACCCCTTCTTCTGCAATAATCCTTGAGCCTTTGGAGGCAGAAGTTTAATATAGGTGTCCAATTCAGGGATACTCACTCTGGAGTCTCTTATTCTCTGAAAGTTGTCTGGTTGTGGTTTTCAGTGTTAATCATCCTCTGCTGCATGAAGACGTTTCTCTGGTGAGAGATGAGAGAGGCATTAATCTATGGATATAATATTAAATCATTAGGAGGCACTTTAATTCCATATCTACTTTTCAGAACAATGATATAAGGCTCTCTCCTATTCCCTGTGCCCTGTCTAGCCACATATTCTAGGCCTGCTGTCAATGTCAGTTATGGATGCAGTCTTATGAAATGAACCTTAAATTCAATTTTAAATGATTGGTTACCCCCATAATATTCATGCCACTTTTGTATCAGAGGTCATATCTTGACAGAACAGTTGTTAAAACATGAAGAATTCACAGCTGGGAAAGGTTAATGATTACTTTTTTCTTCTGGTAGCATGCATAATACCTTTCAAAACTATGACAGCTAGGCAGTAGAAATGAAGCTTCGAAGTCAGTAGCAGCTTGTTTTCTCCTTGTTTAATCTATGGTTCACATATATAGTGTCTTCAGCAATAGGTTCTTACCTCAAGTTATGGTGGTTAATTCTTTTAGCTAATTTTTTATTGCTGTGATGAAGCACTGACCAAAACTTGGGGAGGAAATGGTTTACTTGTCTTACAGCGTAGTTCATCATCAAGTGAAGCCAAAGCAAGAATTCAGGGCAGGAACTGGAGCACAGACCATGTAGGAACACTGCTTACTGGCTTGCTCTCCTGCCCTATGCTCAGCCTGCTTTCTTTTTTAAACTTTTTAAAAATTGAACTTTTGTGTATTTCATACATAAAATCATCTTTATGCCCCCCTTCCCCTTTGGCACCCTTCCATGGCCCCCACACTGGAGTTCATACATTCTGACATTAGTATTAAGGCCTATCATGTAAAGTGTCCCTAGATGTCCCTCAGTGCAAGTTCATCCACTGGGATCCAGTCAGCCTATCTATAGTGCCTCCCATTAAGAGATCAGCTCTTCCTAACCCAGCAGTAATCAGCTGACTATAATTCTTTGACTAAGATTGGGGCCTGCTGTTCATTTCCACAGTTATTTGCTGGGTTTTTGTCTGCTTAAGTTTCCATGGGTCTTGTGCATGCTGGCACCATTGCTATGGGTTCATATGAGAATAGTCCCAGGAGCCTGTAGAACTCTTTCTGTGTGGTCATGCACCTCCTCCCTGGCTCTTACAATTTTTCTGAACCCTCTTCCCCAATGGTCCCTGGATTTTAATATAGGAGTCCTGTCCAAGTGTGCTCTGCTGACTCTTACTCTCTGTGTCTTGGCCATTTGTGACCTTTTGCATTCCTGACCCTTTGTCGCATGAGGGAGCTTAATTAATTAGAATTGAAAGTTGCGCTGGGCGTGGTGGCACATGCCTTTAAACACAGCACTCACTAGGCAGAGGCAGGTGGATCTCTGTGAGTTCTAAGGCTAGCTTGGTCTACATAGCAAGTTCCAGGCCAGCTGGAGCTCCAGGGAGACCCTGTCTCAAAAAGATTCCCCCCCTCCAGAAAAAGAAAGAATTGAAAGATGCATTAGTGTTCTCTTCAGCCCTTGTTCTATGTTCCATGAGCCTTAGGTGGAGAGGGTGTATCCTAGATGTGTCACTTAGACTTGGACAATTACAATCTGTGTGACCAGTTGTGGAACTCTGTAATTATCTTTGTCTCTTGAAAAAGGAGCTTCTTTGATTGGTGGTGACTGGCATACTTGTCTAGAAATTTAAGAATCCATATTTTGCACATAGTAAGAAATTACATTTGTCAAGGGATGTGACAGCCTCAGAGTTTTCTCTAAGATCTATGGCCTCTCCAGCTATGTCTATTTGGCTTGGTTTACAGTGCCAGACAGGAGTTTCCTCCCACTCAGTGGGCTTTAAGTCCAATTAGGTAGCTGATGATTATCCCCAAGATATACAGATTAGAGACGCATGCGCCAACATCTCAGTGTTAGTAGCAAAAACAATGAGTCTTTCTGTAAGAAACAGTATATTTTAGAATGAAACGGCGATCTCTTTTGAGGGTTAAAAACCCATTCAATTTTATGTCTTACAGGGCTTATACTGAGTTCAATATTGTATAACTCTATTGATTCAACAGCAAACCTAGAAATTTTATAGCCACTTTTGAAGGAGCTGTGTCTTTGCTCTGGAAACTGTAATTGGGCGTGTTAAAGCTGTAATGATATGCTTCTTCTAAAAAAATAAAAAAATAATATAAAAAAGTACCACTATTGAACCAATGTCTTTTGCTGTGCTTGTCATTTCTGTGATGTTTAGGATTTGAACCTTGGGTTGGATCATCTATTGATGTTCTCCCTTAGCAGTGTGCATAGTGTTTTCCAGAGCTATGAGAGCTAGCCTTCATGGGAGGGGCTTCCAGGTCAATTCCAGCTCTATTGCTCCAAATCCTGTGTCCAAAATATGCCCTGTCTTCAGCAATAGGGTCTTACTATCAAGTTCTTGGAGGCGATCAAGGACTGTGGCAACAGCCTGTGGAATTTTCGGAGTCTCTTTGACTACCCTGGCCATCAGCTCAGAGGAAGATTTCTCCTGTCTGGCACTGTTTCTTGTTATGTAGCCTTCAGCTATACTCACAGACTCATGTACAGATATTGTATGTGTGATTTTTTTCAGTAGCTTTTTTTTTATTTTTTACTTATTATTTTAATTTTTTTGGTCTTTTTGAGACAGGGGCTCCTTGTAGCCCCAGCTGTCCTGGATTCACTATGGAGACCAGACTGGCCTCAAACTCACAGAGATCCACTTGCCTCTACCTCCCGAGTGCTGGGATTAAAGGCGTGCGCCACCACGCCTGGCCTATTTTAATTTTTTCAACTTTAAAAAATTTATCGAGAATTTCATACAAGTATATAAGGTGTTTTGATCAAATCCATGTCCACTCCCTCCCCTCCAACTCCTCCCATATTTCCCCATCACTTTTTCCTGACAATTTCATCATGTACTCTCTTTCTTTCTTTCTTTCTTTCTTTCTTTCTTTCTTTCTTCTTTGTTTTTTTCTTTTGCTTTTGCTTTTTTGTTTTGGACTAATATGATTCCCTGTGGTTTTTTATACTAGCTAGGGACACTTTAAATGAGGAGGGTGGGGAGGGAGGACAAGGCAGGGATAGAAAGAGGAGAGATAAATAGTGCCCAGTCTTCTTTCTTATACAACATAATACCACCTGCCCAGGGTTGGCACTGCCTACAATGTGCTGGACCCTCCCACATCACTCAACAATGAAGAAAATGCTTCATCGCCCAATCCAATTGAGAAAGTCCCTCAATTGAGGTTGCCTCTAACCAGGTGTGTCAAATTGACAACTAAAGCTATCTTGGTTAGCACAGTAAATATAAGAGAAAGGGTAGTGGTTAGCATTGTTTAAGGATCTATGGAACCCCTGGTCAACAGCTTCTAGAGAGGAAGTCCATCCTGGTCATTGGGCTTTTACTTTGTGAGCATATTGTGTCTGGTAGGGGCAGTGTCCCCTTTTATATGGCAACTCCTTTTAATCTCGTTTTATAATGTCTATGTATATACTTTAAGAAGCTTCTATAATGATATGTTTCCATATGGCTTTTTCTGTAGGATTTTAGTGTTATTTATCCCTCCCCATACTCCCTCTTCTGCCTTGCCCTCCCATTCCCCACCACAATTAACCCTTCCTACTCTTTTATTCCCCTTTACCCCTTTATATCATTGCATTCTATTTCCTCTCCTATGAAGCATCCTGCCTTGGCCATTTGTTTCCGCATCTCTCTGGATTTTCTCACCAAAACATGCATATCTAAGAATTCAAAGATACCATCCAAGAGAGAGAACATGTGAGGTTTGTCTTTCTGGGTCTGGGTCTCTTGAACACCATGCAATGGTTAATTAGGCTAAA